AGGAACAAGAGCCGGGCAACGCGTGTTGGTGCTAAGTGAGGCAAGGACCTATGGCAGACCTCCTCACTGGACAGTGCTGGCGATCTACTCCTTGGTTGCATCTCTGACCCATTCTCTGGTCATTTGGGGACAAGATGAACCAGGGCACAACAGTTTAATACACACCCTAAGAGATCAGACATGAACAAATGGAAACATAGGCAGCCTCGCCTGTAGTCAGAAAAATGCAATTGTTCAAGTATATTTTATATCTATTTAATCACTTTTTAAAAGAATAATGCTCAAGGCCAATGAGTACATACATGGTATCACATACAGAATACTCTATCATTATTTGAGAAAATAGATTCGAAAATATTCTCTAGCATGAGCAAACCTAGGAAATACTTAGTTCTTAGATGTGAGGAAGTAAATATTCACCTCCTCAGGCCCTGCGAGGTGGCAGTGTTGTAAAACATTGTTTATCACTGTGCCCCATGTGATGGGAAAGGGGACTCCTGTTTTCTCCACTGTTTCCCAGCTTCATTCAGAGGAAAGCAAGAAATGAAAAAGCACTTCAGTCTACAAGTCCTTAGTTTTAACATCTTCATCTCAACAGTTTCTAGGATGGCAATAACTTTGCAACTTGGAGACTATTATCTTCTAAAAATGGAACTAATATGCAAATACTTCCCTATTAACCTTTTTTGTGGGTAAAAAGAATAGACACTCCATCAGGAAGGAGGAGCATCTTCAATATTAGCAAGAATTGTTTTCTGAACAGTCTCTCTGCTGTTTGAACAATGAGGTTATGAATAAAGTCCATTATAACTATTGTAATTTTTTCCTACAAAATATATATTGGAGGAGATATGCTAACATGGCCAAGAAGGTACATGATATTATGCTAACCTAACTCTAAACCCTATAGAGTACAAGTCATCTGGGATGTCACTGTAACATTTGCAAAATGCTGTTCCTTTTTCTAAAAAGCATATTTCTTTTTTCTTGCCTTCTTTCCATGTTCTCATTATATACTATAGGGTAAGGCTCAAGAGGTGGAAATCCATTCCCAGCTTTCCTAATAATACAAACTTATCAAAGAAGGTAGAAGAGAATATGAGAATAACAGCTCAATGATATTTTTGGCATTGCAACTTTACATTCATCATGGTAGCTCCCTCTTCAACAACACCACTGTGCCCTGCCCACTCCTTTTTGAATCAGGAGTTCCCCTGCCTCCCACAATTATTCACACAGCCCTGCTGAATATTTTTCTTCCCCCTGCCTGGCATAACAACAAAGCTCAGACGCAGGAAGAAATGCCACTCAAAGGCAGGTCAGACAATGATGTAATTAACAGATGAAGGAGAAGTGGTATTTCAGAGAGCTTCATAGAGCAAGAGACAGGCTGATTTCTTGGGTTAAGACGTTATCTGGAAACTACAGTCACTAAAGCATGATTATCTAAATCAAAAATTTTTTTCTAAATGAATAAAAATATGTATAAATATTACCCCCTCCTATGAAAGTTAAGAGCTTCATATTGAAATTTCAATTAGAAACACATTTAAAATCAGTTTGGAAAAGGAATCTCCTCCACCCCATGCTGAGCAAGGTGCAGGATGTGTATCCCTGTATGTCTTTGCCAAATCAATTTCTCATAACAGGAATCCCTAAGGCAAGAAACAAAGTCAATCCGCAAAGACCCAAATTCCACACTTTAGGTGCTAGGTGATTAAACCCAGTCTCTTCTTATAAAGGATAAACTAGTTGAGGTTGTCAACAGATGACTTCACATAATCATATACAAGAGAATTTGTGGGTTTATGGCTTCAGCCACAAGTCCAGCAAAGAGACAAATGTCATGTTCTGTCTTTCCAAGAAAGACAAAGAACAAGTTGACTAAGGGCTAGGACTCAAAGCATGACTGCAGAGGAATTAGAAGCCAATGAGACATTATTTTCTAAGTATTTTCTTAATAGACACTACAAGCCATGTGATCAGAAGTATGTCCAGCTGTAAATAAGAGAAGTGTATTTCCCTAGGTTGCGTTTTCAATTCAAGAAAGGGATCCGATCATAAATGAGAAGTTTTTCATTCCACGTTAACAGAGGCATTGTCACTTTTACTTTCTTTAATGTATAGTTTTCCATTTTTTAATAAATACTACAGTATGATGCATTGGGTTTAGAAGTACTCATCGATCAATGCCAAAGTTAATAAAACACTAGTCCAAGACCTCCCACATGCACCTAAAGGTGAAAAATAAATTAAAATATTTAAATAAACTTATGTGCTGTTACGTCTCTTCAAATTATTTAGTGCTCAAGTGACATTGGGAAAACATGACCAAAAAAAAAAAAGATCAAGATAACATCAAAGTAGTTTTCATACTCTGGTAAAACAACGTGAATTAGGAATTACTACTCTAGTCCAAAGTCACTGCCAAGCTTATGAGAATTCCTTTAGGACAGAGACCACATCCTATCTTTATATCCCCAGCATCTAGCACAGCACCCAGCAAACAGTAGTCACCCAATAGTAGAGTGGATAACCTTTCTGACTGTACATGGAGGAGAGAAAATATTTAAGGCCTCGTTCTCATCTATATTCGATTCCAGCCATTCAAAAGCTGAAAATATTGACAATTTGGTGTATCTAAAGAGCTTCTATAAATTAAAGTAGGCATTCCTGAAAGAAATGTCTCAGTACTGAGCAGCAATGGCTGCAGATAGCTACTCTCTGAAGACCAAAGTGGAAAGCATGACTTGTGCGGCAGCTTGGCCCCTTTCCCACATCCAAAATAATCAATTGCACAAAGTAGGCTTAGTCCCAAAACTGTTCGGACTTTGTTCCTCCACCAACATCTGGGTTCAGCATGATTTCTGACCTCTACCTCAAACTGGAGATTTCAAACACTAAGAACCTCACTCAACAAGAAAGCAATGTCGTAAGTCAAAGCCAGGGGAGACACGGAAGCCAGGATTAGCAGAAACACTTCAGAGAAATGACTCTGACGTACATATAAAGGTGTCTACACGTCTAAAATGCTGACTTTTCAAGACGGAAACTTAAATATACTTTCTCAGATTAAAAGTATTCATACTGTTGAAGAGAAAAATGTTTTCCAGGAAGCTAAATGGCCCTCCTAAGTAGATAATATAAGATTTTTTTTTTTCTTTCTAGAGAGAGCATACTTTCTTTTCTGTAGAGTTTGGCTCCAAAAACCTGGTTCATAAATCTGAGACCCAAAAACCGATTATTTTAAAAAGACATGTCTTAAGCTGACCTAGTTTGGAAGCCTGGATACCTTTAAATTGCCAATGAACTGAAACCATTCATGAGAATGGGGCTTTTGAATGCTGAGAATGTTCTTCGGAGCTCAGCACAAAGATATTTGGCATAGATGACTGTAAATATTTGTAAAACTCTGGGTAAATGGACAGTGTTTGACCACACTCAAACCTTACTTCCAGCACAGTAGTGTAGGAACAAGTTATCTAGGGTGATTTGTTTGGGGTTTTTTTGGTTGAGTTTTGTTGTTTGTCTTAAATAAAAAGCCAAGCAACCCAATTCTGTTACTTGACATCTTTTTCTCATTCACTATACATGTTTGCCTTATATTTTTTCACTTGAGACAATTAATCAGAGGCTACTTTTGAAACAGAGGTGTTATTCTTTTCTTTACCATTTTTCTAACTTTATGCCCATCACAAAGAATAAAACACCAGTCAAAGGTGTACAAGGGCAGGAGCAGGAGCTGTGTGAAACCATGACCTTGGATTCCATAACACAATTATGTCCAAGTAGCTTTGTGGATCTGCTATAGAGTTTTCTTTTTCTCCCCCTTTCTCATCCTCAAGATAGTTTTAGAAATACTGAAGGGACTGCTCCTTACGAAAAGGACCAGGGTTAAGAAGGAAGGATAAAATAAGGAGAAGGAGGGACCCACAGAGAAATTAGATGTGAAAGGGACCAGAGATCAAGAGGTTCATCTCAGTGAAAGCTGTAGCAGCCAGTACTTTAATTAGCCAGAAACTCAGTTAAGACTGGCTGGGTTCCTTCTGCCTCTTACCCACACCCTAAAAACTGAGTCATCCCAAAATTCTTTTATTTTGCTTCTGGGCATAGACACCCCTGATCTGCTGCTTCAGAAATGTTAGGTACATTGTCCTTTAATTCATACCTCTCAGTGTTCTAATAAACACCCAGAAACGCCAAATCAGAAGAACACTAATAATCCTATTAGGAGACTCAGAGCTAATGTTTTGATAAAATACATGTGGCAGAAAGCAATAAGAAAGTGACAGTCTGTAGTGGAAACCTGAATAAAGAACATTCTCCCAGAGAGGGAAATTAACTGCTGAGAAATCTGAAGGTGAGGAGCAGACGCATCAAGAGTGGACTTACAGCAGAATCCCTGAAACTAGTAAGAAAAGCCAAAGGTGCTCCTGAACAGATAATCAAAAGATACCTTTTCACTACTGAAACAGCAATTTTCAATTTCATTTTAACTTAAATTTGAGAATAGCCTTATAGAATCAGAGTTTAACTGTTTTATCAGCAATTACCTGATGAAATAGTCACTCTAACGTATGGCCAAGGTTCCACGATTAATATGTTATTTATAGCTATGTGTGTCAACATATCGCTATGCATTTCCAAATAACAAAAGGTTATTTGGCATAATCCGAGATTATGCCAACTTTTAGTCTCCCCTTAAGAAATAGGGATGTATGATCTAATCTTGAATTTTACAATACATTCCATAGAGATTCTTTCATTAGAAATGAAGCTGCTTTCTGTTTACCTTTACAAAAGCATCTATTTTTAAAAGTTAACAGGTGTTTAAGGCATTAGGAACGAATTCAATTCTGCATGGTTTAAGCACTAGGGGCAGAAAATAAAACCCCACATCACGGTGTCATAGTTAGTCTCCCGTCCTTTTCTCTTCCCTTAGTCCAACACCATTCCTGTTTTGCAATGCCTGCAGCCTTTAAAAAGCTCGCTAAACCTACCTGGCAGGAGATCTGTGTTCCTGGGGACGCCGGGCGTCTCAGTAGCCTCCCTGGCGCGCATGGCCAGCCGGGGCTGCTCGCACACCGGGAAAGAGGAGCTCTTTCATTCTCTCCCTCTTCCTCCGTGCTCTGCGGCTGACAGCTTTACACTTTGCAGGACTGCAACAGGACTCGTGCTCCCAGACCTATTGGTGGGGAGGAGGAGGAGTCCCTACCCGCCTCCTTGCCTTGACTGGCAGCTGCGGTGCCCGGGAACCTGGCCGCGCGGGCGTGGGGCGCAGCTCGCCAGCAGCAGCGGCAGCGCGTTTATTTACACAGGAAGCTAAGGCGCCGCACTTCCTACTTCCCATCTGGGTCACACTTCAGCTGCAGGTGATGGCCTTAACCCTGTCCGAACCCGGCAGCCAGCGCGACCCAGCCATCCAGTCCTCCTAGCGCCCGCTCTACTTGTCAGGACCTTTCTCTCCTTTTCCTGGGACGGCTGCTGCAGGCATCCCGAGCAGCGTGTCCGGGCGGCAGCCTTTGGTGCCCTTCAACCCGGACGGGGACAGTTCAGCTCTTGGCCTTCAGCGCCTGCTGCCTGTCTGTGCATATCCTCTCAAGCCACCTCTCTTCTCACCCCTTCCCAGCTCTTCAGATCTCTTTCTTCTACTTCTGACAGCCCAGACCTGACTTCCCGCCTCCCCAGAAAACTGCCTTATAAAACACTTCCCATCAAAAAACAGCTTGTATCTGTTTTGTCCTTTTGCCTCTCATGATAAAATTAGAATGCAGGTGAATCGAATCAGGAACAGTCTTGTTTACGTAATAAAATGAGGCCCGTCTTTATGAAACAATGATTTCCCTTGAAGTCCTTTGTAACTTAACTGGTTGTACCCTCAATTAAACAAAATGTAACAAAATGATCCAGAAGCTGCGAGCTGCTGTGAAGTGCCTTCCTCACTATAAAACCTTGGACACTTAATTTGTGTGATGTTTATAACTCCCCATACTCCCCCCGCATATGTCACAATCACCAACCTAAATCTGTCCAATGTTGCAACTTAGAAATGTCACTGCTCTGACACAGGAATCTTTCTGTGCTCACTATGCACCCTCACTCTACTTTTGCAACCACTCTCAGGAATGTGCTTCCTAAAAGGAAGGGACTCGCAAGCCCTTTGTGAAAGGGATCTGTGCATGCCAGTTGAAGTAGCAGCAGCAGGCACAGTTCCAAACGACACAAGCAAACTGCTTCTCAGCTCTCCATGTTGAAGGAAACTTCCAGGTCAAAGCTAAGTGCCAAAGAACACAGTGTATCTATATGTGTGATGCTAGGACCAACCTACTAGTGGGGAAGGAAGAGAAAAGATTAGGAGAGATAAAAGGGTAAGAGAACCCACACAGTAGGGACTCAAAGTAATATAATCAAAGGATATTTGAGCTTGAAAAGTCCTTCTAGCGATTTTAGCCCAAACGACCTAATTTTAAAGGTAAGGAAACTGATGTTCAGGGAGATTCAGGTGGTTGGCCCAACCCAGACACAGGCAGAGCTGGAGTGAGAACTAATCTATTATATGTGACATGAGAAAGGTGCATGTTAATGAAAACCACCCCTAAGGATGTATAACTTCAGATTTAGCAGTGGCTTAGGTTCTAAGATAATCTACCTCAAGGAATTTTCTTGGTATAGTAACCATTGTTGAGGGAAGGGAACTAGGAAAAATAAACAAAGCACCTTTGGTTATTTATTAGTGTTGATGCAAATCTTCAGAGGCTTAAACCAAAGTTCAATATAGAGTCTACTTTTTAAATTACCAATTAAGTTATAATCTCTTGTTAACAGGATAAGGGAAGAAGCTGCTGCCAACATGAATAAAAATATAGGTTAAGCAATAATCATGCTGCCTGTTGTCACAAATATTTTGTAAACTGAATAACCTCGCCACGGATTATTTTCAACCATGCAAAATTTATTTTAAATTGCAGTCAAAATTTAATAAAACTAAACATGTTGAATGCTATACTATTAAGCAAACAACTGTTACAGATCTGCCTAAGGGGTCTGCAGTGTGAATGAATGTTCATTCCCTTGAGCACTTATTGATCTCCTCCCAGACAAGCTGCTAGGTGCTAGGAAGATAAAGAAAGTTAGATATGGTCTCTTTCCTCAAAGACCTCTCAATCTAGGGAAGTCAGACAAACAAATCAATTATCAGGGCACCGATAGTTGTCAGCTGTGGGATGAGGTGATGAGTGAAATGACATGATGTGCCCGTGGGAGCATAGAGAAGAATAATTTAACTAAAGGAAGGGAGCTGATGAAAAGAATCAAAGGAGGCTTCTCTGAGGAGGTGCTTTAAATCTGAGTCTTCAAGTATTCAAGTGGGGATGGTGAAGAAGGATGAACCAGGCAGAGCAAACGGCTAATACAGCAGCTTAGACATGAGACTAGGTGAAGCTTTTCATAATCCAGAGCTGATGCATTCAGAATAAATAAATAAGGGCCTGAACTAATGTAGTGACAATTGACATGCAAAGGAAGGAAACCAATGGAGAGAGATTTCAGAAACAGAATTGATGGGACTTGGTATCTGATTGGATGTGGGGGATGAGAGAGAAAGAATAGCCCAGGTTGCGGGCACCGCTAAGAGTGGCAATGAAAGAAAAGCAGTGGTAAGGGAAATGATGGTGATTCGATTTCAATGCTACAGAATCTGAGGTGCCTCCGGGGTATACCGAAAGAACT